GGCAAACTTTACTGTAAATCTCTCCAGTCCCAAATTTCATCAAAATCCCAAATCTAAAACTTCTTGACGATGGTGAAGAGTCAATTGAATAAAAATTTACTTGGATATTATCCATCGTCTAGTAATAAAACGTAAAAAACGTAAAACGACGTTTCGGAGATGAGGCTCTATCTCCGTCTTCAAAATCCGTTCAACGGTTTTGGAGACGAAACTTGCGAAGGGATAGACAGACAGACAGATAGACAAACGCTAAACGTTTGTGTTCGTACAAAGAACGCGTAGAAATAAAAGACAAGTTAAGACCTTCGTAAAATAACGTCTCTCTCGTACATTATTTTGATTTTCGTCTTGCAGCACTCTTTGGTTCTTTTTGGAAAGAGAAAAATATTTTCATATTACATTTTAGTAGTATGCTTATTTTATACGAACTTTGCACTCTGTAGTGTAATAGTCTACTTTAGAATCAGTTGAAGTACGTAAGAGCACGCTACATTAATAGGCTATAGGTTTACGTCACTCGGTAAAATTTTCACACGCGAACGAATGAACGCGATGTGAGATTCAAGTGCACTGGAAAAGAGTGGTGATACAGACGAATAAAACAACTGTATTTAACGAACGAAACTTTCACGGTGTTTATAGACCACAGTGTCAACCCTGTTGACTCAACAACCAATATGTTGCTTTCACTGACTTAAATAATGTCCGACCAGGTCTAACTCAGAACCTCCCATGGTTGTAACTGTAGTAGTATTTATTTATTTGTGTTTTATCTCACGACGCTGTCAGTAGCTCAGACAACGTAACGTCGAAAATGATTAATAAAATGGAAAGGATAAGATAGGAAGTGGCCATGACCTAATTTTAAGTACTGTTAGGACATTTTCCTGGAAGGACTGAGAAAAAACACAAAAATTCCCTGTCAGGGTGTGCGGAATCTGAGCCGATTTTTGAGGCCGAGATCTCCGAACTGAAGAGTTACTTGTCCATTCGGATGTTCACTTCCCGGTCTTACTTATCACGAGCCGGACAAAACTGCAATAATAATAGCAGCAACGGTTATTCCGCTAAGGATTTCAGTCATTAGGACCGTATGTTTCAGAACGGTCTGAGATTTCAAATTTTTTAGAGTGTGTAATTTTCGAATCACCCTATGCATCCAACCACACTACTAAATGTTCTTGTTATTATAAGGGATTATCTACCACACAATGAAACCCTGCCGATAGTAAAAAAGGGCAAGTTAACAAAACCTCCATTGTGTGCAGTGTATAAAAAGTTGTTCAACTAACCAGAGAACGATACAGCCGCAACAGAACCCCCCCCCCCCTCCACGAGACTTGGTTGTGCTGAAGCGTGTTAATTGCAAATTTTGATCGGAGAAAGAAATATTATTTATGCAAGTCTAATGGAAGCTACTGAACATTTTTATTGTACCTATCAGCAGAGAGCTAGTTAGTTAGCTATGTGATTACTGAAACCAACTCGTAAGAAAGTACGTAATAATTACGTTACTTTTTACAAGGAAAGATTAATTGACTCTGATTAATTAACGCAGGCAATTTAAACTGCGTAGGTTACTCAGCGTGAGACGGGGAAAACATTTTGAATGATAAACTGGAAAGAATGGGCAAGGAAGTCGTACTAGTCTACTTTAAAGCATTATCATAGCTGAGTCTGATCCACAGTAGCTGGTCTGCAGTTTGACATTCGTGTGAGGTTCTCTAGTGTCAACCACTGGGCTTAAGCCACGAAGTTATATTAGTTAAAAGGTTTTATTACATAGACCATTTAATTTCATCACAGTCCAATAAGTCAGAGAATCCTATACTGTCAAGAAATTAATTTCGGCTGTGTTCAAGGGAACCGTTGTCTTTCTGCAGTAGCAAGGGCCCTGAGTTGGTCCCCCTGTAGCACATCTAGGATCGCCCTTGACCGGGGTCTCGTTTGGAAATGTTTGCACAAGGGATCCTGCAAGGCACAGCAAAGAATATGCCCTAATCTCAGAGTCTTTGTTACGTTATAACCTCCTGGATTTACAGTCGATTTATACACAGAGGCTCATTCCCCCCTCCGCCCGCCGATGGTCTTTTTTATGTTTTCATAACTACTTTAGGCTTTATGTTTGATGTTTAGATTTAGGGATGTAAGTCCTTACTGAGCGTGTATCTGTGTGAGCAATACGCATTTAAATGTCGCTTGTGAAAATAAAATTAACTGCTGGTCTCCCTATTGTAACACGTGGGGATATTTGTTCCGTGACAGAACAAGCTACTACAGCTTATCAATCTGCAGTAAGGCCTGAACCATCCAATAACCATGCCCACAAAAGGACAAACTTTTTCAATAAACTCTCGCCGACCTTTTGCAGTAGGATCCTCTGATTCATACTCTGAGGTATCCTTCTCAAAACCAGGCCACAGACCACGCAGTAGCACGGTGTAATGGTAATGCTCTAGACTTGTAAATTATATGGGAGGTCGAGTGAATTAGTCAATGAGTTTTTAATAACGCTCTCTCAGTTGCACGAGTAGGTGTATACAGTGTCCAATGAACAGTGACTGTGAATAAATGGCGAAGTGGGAAAGGACTGGGAAGGAAGCGGCAGTGACGTACTTTATAAGGAAGAATATTATCTCAGAGGAACTTGGTAAAACCAGAGAAACCCCAATCAGTGTAGCTAGGACCTACCGAAAACAGAAGTCATAACCATTCGAAAGCGACTTCGGCGTTTCAAGGTGACCGAATAAAATCCTGACCACGTTACGGTCTCTCCTTACTCGGCTTACTTGTATTTTTACTCAGTTTATCTGGATAAATACTTTGACAGCATGTTCATAAGGGCCGAGACTGATTTCTTCCAAATTCTTCTCTATTAAACGTTCTTTATCGTCTTTATTTCATATTCGGTGCGCAGGACTGAGTTATATCTCCGGCTGTTGAATGGAAAAAACAACAACTGTTAACTAGAACTGTAATAATTGCTGACAGAAAGAGAAACAACTGCCCTTTACATCGCGTCGTAACAACGGAATTAATCTTAATTCTAAGATACTAGCCAAGTTTTGTACATTTTGCTTCAGTAATTTAAGATGAGTAATCGGCAATTTCTGTATAGAAAACAGAACATTAGAAACTGAACATAATCAGCTAAACTATAAGGAAATGTATAATACGCTTTCCCAAGCACACGAAAGTTGTGCATGTTCCTCAGTTATGAAGGAAGGAAACATTATTTAAAATATAAAAATATTTTGTCCGTGAAATGTGAGGGATCTCTACAGATCAGTCAACAAGAGAAAAATTAGTTTTCGAAATAGCAGTCAGACTTACTGTATGCATTTACACATTAAATGTATAATGTTCTAATATTACAAAGCCTAACAGAATTATTAATACTAATAGGCCTATAGCAGATTAAACCCAACTTTCCAAATCGTTCGTCTTCTAATAGTCAATAAACCCAATCGAGGACCGGATACGATAATTGTAGTAAACGTGAAATTTCTCATTCCCAATTTGCGTGAATGAAGCCCACTTTACATTTGCGTATCATTTATAATTCTGAATAATTCTTCGATATCTTAATTCTAAGTTATTATAAACTCAGCAGTCGCGAAGAAACATGACAATCAAGCCATGGTTGACACTGACTGACAGACCGGGGTCATTTCTCGTCAGGATTATTGGGAACGTTTCCGATGACTACCCTTCAGATCGGTCCTGAGGTGGTCCGAGGCAACACGGTTGGCATTGACGTAGTGTGAGTGGATAAAATCGAATGGAGAGGAAATATTTCTTGTGAGAGATAAAGTGTTATTAACGCTAATATTTCAGGTTGCGGTCTATGACATCTTGTAGTCTTGTAGGTGACTGCCTAATTTTATAAGAATATGCTGCCTCCATCTTCTGGAATATAAATCTGACAGCTTGCCTTTTTACAACGAGGAGCGTACACTAAGCTCCAGGATTATTTCATACTGTCAAAGTTTGAATGAGGTTAGCAGACATGGCGCACTGTACATCACAGGCCTCAGATAGCCTACATAGGCCTAGTAGTGGAGTATGACCTTTAGTAGGCCTATCCAATTATTTTAGACGCCATTCAAGAAGAGAACTGACCAGGTACACGTGTAGCAGGACAATGCTGTGCAACGAAGTTCATTGTTTCTATCGGAACTCCGAGTTTTTAAGTTCGTCGGGTGTATATGCAGTAATCAAGGAGAATGCTCTGTCAAATAAATAGATTAGTTCATCTTCATAGGCAGGACGTTTAATGGCAAGGAATAAATCCACGTGTTCTTGGTTTACGAAAATAAAAAAAAAATACAGGGGAGGGGTTAAACCAAATGCGAATGCATCCTATAAATATGGGGCACGTGCCACCTTTCTCACATTTTCAAAGGGAAACATTGTTGAGGAATTTATTTCTGGACGACTCCAGAAAAATACGCACTGTGCAATGAGTAATATAACGTGGATGCAAATTTTCTGTAGCATTAGTTTTTCTGCACTGGTTTCAGATTCCCTTCTCCATGGGAGCGCGCCTCCCCTGTTCGGATATGCTGGCATTGGATCGGGGTCCAACATAGCCAAGCCGATACCACGGCCGGCTGCTGCAATGTTCAATCCACACCTACATACACTGCTGGCGTGCCGACATCCGTACCTGACAGGTAAGGAGAAGCCGAGAGGTACTCGGCTAGACTGCGAACTCCTCCTCATTGTTTGTTGCTTCCGAAAGTTTCGTTTTGCTTGTCAACAATACAGAAATTGCAGTGCTTGAGGACAAGGCTTATTATCTTGTATCTACTAAAGCAGCGTTTACTCAACCTATGGTAGGCGTACCACTGGTGGTACGCGAACTAAGTAAGAAAATCAAAGGACAATATTAACATAAATAAGTTTTCTCTGAACGCGGGCGGTTAGTGGCACATTTAATGTGTTAAATTAGAATTAGTGGTACGCCAGCGAAAAAGAGTGACAACCCCTGTCCTAAAGATAAAACAGCTGAGAGTTGTTTTCAATGGTGATGTTTAATGCCAGTAGAGTTAAAAATCACGATTATATTACCAAAATTATCAAACAAGAAGGTTAGTTAACTGTAACTCATTTATGTAGTAAGTCAATCAGTCAGGTCACTTTCGTATCTTCTTCTTCGGTTAATGTCGATTAGCTCTCTGGAACGTTCAGATTCGTAACTACAAACTTGTGAAAGACAGCACGCTTTAGAAATCTGGCACAACACTCTATGTCTCTCCTTACACAAGACAATATAAGACGTAAAAACGCGGACAACGCATCTCTTCTTCAAACCCGCAATCGAGCATTCGAGAGGTCCAGGACCGTGTGGCCACTGTGATTGGCTTTAACAGTTTACGTTGTTTCGTTTCCAACTTATCCGCCGTCTCTCTACGCTGATGCTGAGTTCAACAATTTATAATCAACATTTCTGTCTCGTGTTCCAGTTTCTACGCCAAACACCGGAGGATCTGGGGGTCCCGGAGGAAGCTCCGGTGCTCCGACCGCGGTGTTCCCTCTTCCTGGAACGTTCCCGTGGGCCAACAGTTCGCGTGGGAAACCTCGCAGGGGGATGATGCGCCGAGCCGTGTTCTCGGACCTGCAGAGGAAAGGACTAGAGAAGCGATTTCAGATACAAAAGTACATCTCGAAGCCGGACCGCAAGAAGCTGGCGGAGAAGCTGGGGCTCAAGGACTCTCAGGCGAGTTTTCTTGAATTAAATATCCTAATAAGCAATTAACTGGGTAACTACTTAACCCTTTTAAACTATAGAACTAACCAAACAACCAACCAAAAAGCCAAGGGCGTGGTCTTGCGCAAAGCGTAAGACGTGGTCCCTTGGTAGATCAAATCATTCCTGCGTGCTTAACGCGTAACTGGAATTGTAAATCATAACCAGGGAAGTGCTTACGTTACCGTTGGCTGGAGGTCTTGACGTGTTGAGGCTAGGGGCTGTTGCTACTGGTGGGAGGATGATAGCAACAGGTTAATTTGTCCTTTGCTGAAAGAACTTTAGTTGGTTGGATGTCTGGGAGTTAAACCTAAAAAGTTGGAATCGGTTTGGCTGAAGGCCTCTGCGAGTTTGAGAGGTTGGTTGAATAATTTTGGCTGATGACCCATGATTGGAGTAGGCGCGTCATGCGTCTTTTAAATTATACACTAGCATTTGCCTCACAACTGATAAAATGCAAGGAGGGCTTCAGTCAGAGTAATGAATAGTATTAGACACTAATTATTGCAACGACTTGACCGCCTTCATTAGAAACATCATTGACAAGCTTTCTAAGGATCAATCCTTTTGAAACCGAAGCTCGACTAAATATTATTTAAATGTTAAGTCCCTTCCCCAAAGAAAACACGACAGTTCTCCGTTACACAGATCATATGGTTACTGCTGTTTGCGGAAATAATCACTGATTAAACTGAGAATCACAGGAAAGAAGAAATATGCCCTATGGTCAAAATACATAGTTACTGATTATTAAAGCAGGTGGTACACATTATAACCCGTTAAAACAGTGCAGCGGTATAAATAATATAAAAATTCACTTGATTTATCTCTTTTGGCAGGTTGTTCAATGATGTAGTCACCCCAATAGAAACATCTGCTCGTTCTGTGAGCTGGAAAAGTTTCAGTTAGTATTGTTTTAATATAATTCAAATTGTGGAAATAAACATCTGTATCACTACGATACGTCATATTTTTAACAAATACAGGATTTAAGTAGATATTCTGACAGGCAATAAAAGCAAGAAAACAAATAATTTAAAATGTGATCGCACAGACTACTTTTAATACAAATCCTGAAAGTGTAATGCCAACGAGCAGCTCCATGCAAATTGTTTCCATTCAACATTTATTAACTTTTATATTGATATAGGGGTCCGCAGTGGCCGCGCGGTCTGAGGCGTCGGCCTTGTGCCGCTTGGTCGCTTGGACCGTGGGTTCGAATCCCACTCAAGCAGTGGATGTTTGTCCGCGTTTTTCTGTGTCGTGCTGTCCTGTGTACAGGTAGAGGCCTTGCGACGGGCCGATCCCTCGTACAAGGAGTCCTACCGAATCTCTATAGATCAAGCCAACGAAAAGTTGAAGAACGGGTCGTTCCCAGTATCCCAGTATCCCAGTATATTTATATGCGGACATTACACATATATTACTCTTTGATTCCATATGTAGGCTGCTAGTTGTAAAATAAGGAAATATATATGAAAAATGGATACAGAATTTAAAGGTCTAAAACTTCAAAGGAAGAAAACCATTTCGAAGACACAGGTGTGGATGGCAGGATAGAAT